GCCGTTCGATGCATGGTTGTTGCTATTGCCTCTTATGCCATAAGGCATTTCATCCACTTTCTAATTTTAAATTTCAAATGAATATTATACAAGAAAACATAGAGTTTTCCTATAGAAAATAGCTACGGAAAATTTCGGTAGCTAATTACATACGACATAGTTATAGATCAGCTACAGAATGGGATACCCTAATTTAGTAAAATAATACCTACGAAATAATGACAAATGTTAATCTGTAGGTATTCTGTTGGTAATTAGCTACAGAATAGCTACGGACTAGCAACGGAAGTAAATTCGTAGGTAATTAGCTACGGAGTAGCGATAGGATAAAATGGCTACATAATAGCTACGAAATACCAACAATTTAATAAGTTTCATTATTATTATTATTATTATTATTATTATTATTATTATTATTATTGCTCCAATTATTATTATTTTTCGTTATTCGAATCTTAATTTTTTTGGATCATTTTTCTTACATATTTACGACACCAACAATTAAAAATCATACTAATAGTACTATTAATAATAATACTTATAAACATTATAATAATATATAATAGTTGTAACGAATGTCTACAACATACAAACAAACGATTAAACGAAAAAAAAATTACGTTTAGATATCAGTAAGGTAAAATAATCTATGTTTAATTTATAAATAATGAAAAATGATGATAATAAAGGGAATATGTATATTCGTATTTTTACACGCCCGTAGATCCGGGCTAGTCAACTTAGAGACGATAAGCGTCAAAAATGACTTTTTTGATGGAAGATTATTTAGAATGAGTAATCTTAACTAAGTTGTAGTATATGTTACAAGGATTCCGTGCATATAAAGAACGCCGAAATCCGAGTTATAACGAAGAAGTTATGACCCCTCGAAGTTTCATGATAGAACCGGCACGACGCTGAAGGACATAAAAAGTGAATTTACGTTAGAGCAATATTTAGCCTTAGCGATCTAAACAAAAGTTGTAGAATACGTTAAACCGAAAGCGTGCATAAAAAGAACGCCCAAATTTGACTTCGTATGAGGAAGTTATGATTTTTCAGAAGTTTCGACTTAGCAGTATACAGCCCGAATCCTTGATTTGAGATCGAGTGATTTTTAGCCGAAACAATCTAAATGAGAATTGAAGGTCTCATCTATAGTAGTGAAACGATAAAAAGATAGGTGGAAACGGATGTCAGATGAAGAAGTTATGAATTTATAACGGAGTTTTCCTGTCCCGGCCTACTAAAAATAATACAAAAGTAATATATTTATAATATATTAAAAATAAAATTAAAACTAGCCAACGGAGTCCAAACGAGAGTTGTAGATCATATTCTCACCTACATGTCGATATAAAGAACGTCAAAAACGGAGTTCGTATGCGAAAGTTATGAATTTCTGAAGTTCGGAGAGCGAAACCCCAAAACTGTAAGCCACCACTACATGACAGTAGCTCTGGAGTTTGTCAGACCCACTTGCAATGACGCATGCAGTGACGACCCAGCCACCACGACGTGGTAAACCGTACCACAACGTGGCAAGGTCAAATTTTGCGCTATAAATAGATTTGAACGGCCAGGCGAGTTTGGGTTGCTCCAGCTCCTCTCTCTCACTCGCGATACCCTCTACAGTCATCCTGAAGTACCCCCGAAGCCCCGGTTTCATCCCGAGACCCAAAGCAAGTCCTGAAGCCTGAAGATCCCGAGAAGAAAATAGTTTTCGAGCCGAAGTTCTGCCTGCGAGGAGCCCAGTTTTTTGTGAAGATCTTCCAGATCTATCGAAGAATACTACTTCTACAAGCCGTAGTTTTATCCAATCATCTTCTGATCAAGTAAGTGTGTGGTCTCTTTCTTCTAACACATAAATATTAGGTATTTGCTATGAAATACGTGCTATGTGTATAATATAAAATTGTTTATACGTGTGGGTGTATAGTCCCTTTCATAAACACGAGTATAATACAAGTATTGTTTGAATGTATTAAGCATATGTTTGGGTGAGTGTGTAGTTACTTTCTTCTAACACATAAATACGAAGTATTTGCTATGAAATACGTGCTATGTGTTTATATATTATTTGTCTACTTAAGATGGGCATGGAATTGAAGTTTTATATAGGTTTTAAATGAGTTAAACTGTATATGTATTTTATCTCTACAAATATGTTGGGTAGAACATGGGTAGACGAAATAGTTGGTGTGTGATGAAGGATGAGTTTGAGGATGAGACGAAAGATAAACCTCGGTAGCTATGGATTTAGTACTGTAAAGATAAGCCTCAGTAGCTATGGATTTAGTATTGTATATAGATGAACCTTGGTAACTATGGATTTAGTATCGTATAGAGGAACGTTGGTAGCTATGGATTTAGTACTGTTAGATAGACGATGATAGCTATTGACTTAGTACCTACACTGGTAGCTATGGATTTAGTACCCGATGAATGAACCATAGCAGCTATGGAATCAGTGCTTTACGAAAGAACCTTGGCAACTATTGTCTTAGTGTCTAATAAAGAATCATGGCAGCTATTGTCTTAGTGTCTAATACGGAGTAAACGAATAGATGACTCTTAGGGTAGGCCCTTAAGAGTAAGAAAGATAATTGGATGGGTAATCGGAATGATCGTTTGATGATTGAATATATATATATATATATATATATATATATATATATATATATATATATAAGATATAATATTGTGGGTTGAAAACCCTATATGCTCACCAGGCTCCCAAGCCTGACCTACTCAGTTTTCTTTGCATTACAGGTAATGGCACAAGAGTATAAGTTGGTGGACTTGACGAGAGATTTTGGATTATAGATCAGTAGTTATAAATAACTGTTGTAATTATATTATTTATGCTTTTGGTCTGTATCAGAACATGACATCTCGAGATTTTGTTATTTAATGAAAATACATTTTTGTAAAGAAATGCGTTGATAAATTCTTATCATATTTTGTTTTGGGAACAAATTCCGCAACTGTTTTCTTTAAACGGTTACTCTGATTTATAAAACAAAGCATAAACAAATTGGTATTTTCTGACCGTGAAATTGAGGATGTCACCGTATGTGTATGTATGTATGTATGTATGTATGTATGTATGTATGTATGTATGTATGTGGGTGTGTGTGTATGTATATGTATGTATGTATGTATGTATGTATGTTATGTATGTATGTGTGTGTGCGTATGTATATGTATGTATGTATACATGTATGTATGTATGTGTGTGTATGTATATGTATGTGTGTGTATTTGAATGTGTATGTGTATGTGTATGTGTATATATGTGTGTATGTATTTGAGTATTTATGTATCTATGTAAGTACATATGTGTATGTGTATGTATTTGAATGTGTATGTGTATGTCTATGTTTATGTTTATGTATGTGTGTATGTGACTACATGTATGCTTATCAAAAATCGAAAATATTAATAGATATTACAATATTAAACCATTAAATGAGTAATGTATCCCGAAGCTGCATACGATTTTATGAACGGTATTAATAGCTATAAGTTATTGAAAATACAGATAATCATGTATAATTGAGGTATGAAAAACGAAGCGGAAAAAGTGACGTTTGGTGACCGAAAAATCGAAAATAAGACATATCCGTAACTAGTCCGTAGTTAATTACATACGGATTTGCTATAGATTTTTCTTATTTTTCGATTTTTCGGTCACCAAAAGTGGTTTTTTCCACTTCGTTTTTTTCACTATCATTATTATACATAATTATCTATACTGTAACCAATTTATAGTTATTAATATTATTTATAAAGTCGTGTGCATACGAGTATATGACTTTATGAACGATATTAATAATAGCTATAAGCTAAATTTTTGAAGGATAAACTTCTATTTTAATAGTTCCTTTAATACATATATTTCATAAGTAAAATTGCAATTGGACGGGAAATGCGGAAATTAAAGAAAGTGAGTGCAAGTTTTAATCGGTCTTAGTTGAACATGCCAAATGAAAACTACACCTAAATGTATTGGGAGGCTTAAGACCAAAACAACCAAGGGCAGTTTTGTCCAGATGAAAAATCTAGCTTTTAAACAAGATCAATACCAATTTTGTCCACAGAATCCAAACCACTTTATTACTTCCGTATCTAACACAAGTTTCATTTGCAATGACTATTTTCCAAAGTTGTCAAAATCTAAACTATTTTTTGTTGCTAATATAATATATGCTAAATATATGTTTGATTTGCATATGATATTTTGATTGGAAAAGGTTAGGAAAGCTAGTGTGGCAAATCTACACTAATATTTAGTGTCTTTGCATCTTGATTGAGTATGCACAGGGGGTTAAATAACTGAAAGAGTAAAGAACATGTATTAATACAGCATCAAATAGAACCAATCTCAATCTTGGGTGGTCCTAAACGACAAGTGATACGATTGCATTTTTAATTGTTTTGAATCAAGTATGCATGGTTATATTGTTTTGTCACATGACCCACATATGAGAAATGAATGCTTTTATGTACTAATAATTTTTAATCAAGTATTAATTTTATTTTTAGTTGTTTTGAATCAAGTATTAATTTCTATGGGTTTATTTGAAGTGAATGATGTTATAATATAATAATATAATTATTAAATTTTGTTAATAAATTTTTTTGCAAAAATTTGATTAGTGATTACAATTTCGAATTATAAATAATGTTTTATTAGACCTAGTAAACTTATATATTTGAATGGGCAAAATGCAGAAGAACAGACTAACTTATATATACGATTGCATTTTTAATTCTTTTAAATAGGGTTTTTTACACTAACTTTTGTATTCAAACACTGTTACAAAATAAAAATAAAACTTTTGTATTCACACTCTTCAATATTCACGATTGATAGAAGAACAGACTCATGAATTACTTTTACTTTTACTTTTATTTGAACATAGATTACCACAAGATAGTTCTTAAAAAAAATTAACCTCACATAATAGGAAAGACTAACAAGAATTTGAAGTTACCTCTAATACCGGCGTTGTTGATCAAAACATGGATGCAGCCAAAAGCCGACCAAGCCTTTTGCACAGCGGCTTCGATGGTAGGACCATCGGCACAGATATCAAGCTCAAGTGCCACTGCCAAGACATCATGCGTAATGGCGTCACCTTCGTTTGCATGAACATTAGAGATTTGCATGTTGTTAATTTCATGGCATAGAGCCTTGAGTTTGTTAGTTCGACGTGCAGCAGCAATGATCTTGCAACCAGCATTGGCTAAGTCGATACACAACTCCCAGCCAATACCTGAGGATGCACCGGTAACCATCACAGTCTTGCCTCTAAGGTCTCGCCATGGTTCAGCCACACTTGTTGCGATCTGTTGGGTAGAAACTGCCATTGATCTTTAGGCGTTGATATCTAGTTCCCAAAATTGGAATGAATTAATAACATAAACAGGAAACTACATATTTTATAAGTGAGTCATTGCTCATTTTACATGTTTAGTCCAAAACTTTCATGTGTTGTATTTTTTGGATGAAAAGTTAACTTTATCTATTTGATCATGAATTTGATAACAAGTGTGAATTATTGGTTATCTCTTAATCACCTATCATGAGTAATGCGGACGAAATTTTGATTGTTTTCTTTCATGTTTCTTTAACCTCCGACTACTACAACTTAAATTAGACGTTCTCTTTTTGTTTTTATTTTGATTTAGTATTTAAGAAACCTAAATATACAAGCATAAATTTAATGAAAAAATCAAGATAAAAATCTAAACCAACAAACATAAAATTATAAAGTGAAGTCAAATTAGAATGAAAAAGCTTTGAAAATTTTGAAAACAGAACCCAAAATCAACAACTACGCAACTCGTAATAAGATTCATGTCACATTCATTCAATGTTTTCAGGATCGGGATCTTACTTAAGATTATTTTATTTTTATTAAGATCGTGACCGTAAGATCAGTTTAGATCAGTTTAAAATATATGTAGAGTGTAAGATTGTCTTTCCATTTAAAAGAGCTCTTATGGAGATGAGTGACTGTGACATATATCCACTTATAAGAACGTCTCACACCGATATAAGATCCAACCAACTCTCTCCTTCAAAGACGGATGCTCGGTAGTGATAGAAGAGGATGTGTTAAGTCACGGGATGCGAGATGCTAGCTCTAATACCATGTATGATATATGTATAGTCCAATATTGTGTCTCTAAGAGAACCCTTATGAAGAGAGGGAGACTCTAAGGCCCTGTTTGATACACATCTTTCCATGTCCAAACAGATATTTTTGACTGAATGAACCGGAAAGACAATTTGATTTGTACAAAAAAAAATGGGTCTTTCCCGGTAAAATATATCTTTTCCAAAAAGCCCCAAAATCAAATATTTCTAGCTGAATGGGCTGGAAAGACAATTATGCACCAAATCTCACCCCTTTCTTTCTTTCTTGAATTATTAATTTTTTTTAATTTATTTTTTATTGAACTAATACTTTTTTTAATGTGTTATTTTGTATTAAGAAATATTATTTCAATATAATATATATATATATATATATATATATATATATATATATTAATAAATATTATTTTATTGGATTATTAATTTCAAAATAATTCTTTTTTTAGATATTTCCTTTTTATGGATTAATTATTTTTATTGGATTATTATATATTCATAAATATTATTTATAATATATAATGTTTGTATATTAATAAATATTATTTTATTGGATTATTAATTTCTTTTAGTTAATTTTTTTAAAATTTATTTTTATTGGATTAATTCTTTTTTTTTTTTGGACAATACCACCACCATCCTAATTTATTTAAAAAAATCTCATCCATCCCACCACTATCGGACATAAGTCGGGTCATTTTCCATCATTCGACACAGTCAATCAGATGTACAATCAAACAACATGGTTTCTTTCCCAGTCAGAAAACTTTCCCAGACAGCACTTTACGAGACAACACTTTCCCAGACAAAAACTATCAAACGAGACCTAACATATATATATATATATATATATATATATATATATATATATATATATATATATATATATATATATATATATATATATTTGTTTTTAAGACTGTGTTACATTGATGTGAAATATACTAACAATCAGATCGAGATTGGAAGATTCTACCAAAATAAACTATAGTTATCAAATTTTCTGACAAATATTTGTTCTTGATGTACCCATTATAACTTGATGTTAAATAATACATCGATGGTGTACTTAAATTTAACTTCTTAATCATAAGCTATAATTCTAGTTACTATAAATTGAAAAAATTAGGAATAAAATGTCTTAAGCAGAAAAAGAAACAAGAACATCATAACCATGTACAACTAAAAGCATACAATCACAAAGGGAGTATCATGAGTGCCAAAATGATCTGCATATTTCAATATAAATGGAAAAAGTGGTAATCTTATAACGATGATCGTTTTCTATTTCTAGTAGAATGGACTAATTTTGAGGCTTGACTACATAATTAAAACTAAAAAAATATGGGATTAGATCGGGATAAGATCATATGATCCTAGTTAGGATCCTAAGATCTGATATAGACTTTCCTCATATAAAATTGTGTGATTGGGATCATTTTTTGCTTCTAGAATCTTAAGATCATGATGTTAACGACTATAGATTCATTAACAAATTGTATTAGTTGAAAAATATGACATTTGTATCCAATGATGTATCTTGAAAAGTCAATAACACTTTGTAACGCCCTGTTTATTTAATAAATAAATAGATAAATTCACGAATAATAGTATCCCTAAAATTAATAATAATAATATAGCAAGGTTTTGGTCTCAAGGGTTAATTGTTATAATTTTAGAAGTTAGGGGTTAAAAGTGTAAGTTTTGGAATTAATTTGAAAAGGATTTCAGAAATCAGAGTGTGTTTGGTAATTAATGGACTTAAATTGAAAAGATTTGAAGGCTTAAGGGGTTGATTGGTAATTTCGGGACCTATTATGAAAGCACTTTTGGAGACATGGGCTAAAGGGGTAAGTTCCGGATTTAAATTAAAAAAGATTTTGGGATGAGGGACTAATATTGGCATAATGGGCAAATGTTTGGATGGGACACAAGTTTAGACCCGGTGCTCATTCTTTCCCGTTTCATGAAGAGAAGTCGAGTAACCTTAACTCTAAGGGCACCTTTCAGTAGCCGCCACCCTCATAAGAAGCCTCATAGCTGCCACCTCCTTCTCGTTCGTTTTTTCGATCAGATGAGGCCACCAGCAGTTATTTCGCCATTAGAATGCCACCACATCACCGCTGTCAGCTAGAGACGTCATGGGCAGCCGAAGAACCATGGAGGACCGGGGAAAAACCTACTGTGCCATCGTTGTGCAAGTCGTGAGCCACTGGGAATGCTCAATAAGTTACCCCCAACCTATCATTCCTCCTTTTCTCTCGTTCTTTTGTGGGTGTGACACCGGAATCGTTACTACCGCCGTCGGTGGCCATGAGGGGACGTTGTGGTGTGTTTTTCCGGCAACGTCTGCCGACTTAGACGTGGCTGAATGGGCGTATGTTAGAGCTTAGTGGTTGTTTTTTATATTTATAGTGTGTGATGTGTGTATTTTTGGCCAAAAACCCACTGCCACCACCATGAGGTGCTGGCTGCCACCACCTACCACTACTTTACCACCACCAACTGTTGTATGGTGGTGGATGTGTGTATATGATGTGATGTTATGAGCATGTTTAGTAAATTAGGACTTGTATAAACGTTTTTGGTGGAAGGATTGAAGGAAAAGACATAACCACCACCGTGAAGTGGTGGTTGCCGCCATGTGCTACCGTCGACCACCATCGCACGAGGTGGCAATGGGTGGTGCTCGATATGGTGAAACCCTAATCACCCCAATAGCTTAATCTTGGACTTGATTGGCATATGCTTGGTTTAGAAACCCTAATTAGGGTTTAGAAAACCCTAATTTTAGAAAATGTTAGTTTTGGATTGCGGGGACCCGCGTTTGGACCAGTTGACTGAAATTATGACATATGTCGATTCCATTGTATGTCAGCCTAGTGGAGTAATGGACTTATTGGGTCAAGTCCTTAATGGGTTAAGTGAGAAACACTTAACCCTAATCATCATTTCATGTGAAAACCCAAATTGTATTGGGTTTTGAGTTGGGCCTAGATGTTTTTACTATTGATGGGCCATCCAAGAACAAGTATGGACTAGAATATTGAATTAGGCTTTAGGATAAGGCCCATTGGAAAGGTTTGGGCCTAATTTGTAAAATTAAGCCATAAATGGGCCATAACTTGGCCTTGAGGATTATGTGATATTGGGTTATTGGATTGCCAAGTGTTTTGGTCAGAATAAATGGTTAGGCCTTCATATTAGACCTTTTAATTAGGATATTATCTTAATTGATAATCAAGGTTTGGTTTTGGATATGTTTAGTAGGAGAGACTTTAGTACCAGTGGCTTGTGCGTGAAATATATCCATTACCGATCAAGGTGAGTTTCCTCACTTTAGTCGTGGGTCGAAGGCACCAATGTCGGCGCACCATGTTATATTATATATCCTAGTATATAGGATGTTGCTATGTTGTACTGATCTATTAGATTGATAGGTTTATTTGATTATCTGTTTGTTGGTTATATGTTTATCTTTGCATATATCGACATAGTGTGGATGGTTTGAGGTGGTACTACTAAATGTTGTACGCCAACAAACCTGAGAGCAATTTATACATAAGTTGAGGGCGAAGAGTGTAATCCAGACTTATGATGTGGGCTCGGAAGCAATCCAGAAATAAGTTGAGGTTTATGAGGGCAATCAAGACTTATGTTGTAGGCTCAGAGGTAATCCAGTCCGATGAATATGGAACCTGTGTGTTGGGCAATCCAATTCGATTATTGTGGGCCAGGGGTAATCCTGTCTGATGATTGTGGACCCAACATGTACATTTGTATATGTTTATTGTGTGGAGCATATTGGGGAACTCACTAAGCCTTGTGCTTACAATTTTATGTTTATTGTTTTAGGTACTTTTGTTTTAAAAGGATGGCCCAGGATTGATCACACTACATACCCGAGAGATTTATTCTGCACTGAATGTTTACAAATTATTCTAATGTTTTGAGAATACCTTGACTCTAATAATTTTTGTAATAATGAATGAATCGTTAAACTTAGTTAAAATGAAAAAAAAATTACTATGATTTTTGGGACGTTTCACGATACACATGATATATGTATATGGCTAGGAGATTTGATTGCTCGACATTAGAGTCAAGATCTTGTCTGGATGCATGGTTTGTATTATAGAATATGTGGTATACTAGGGAACTCATTAAGCTTTATGCTTACAGTTGTGGATTAAATATTTTGCAAGTTGTT